TTGTTGATGATAGCCATTCTGACAGGTGTGAGATGGTACCTCATTGTTGTTTTGATTTGCATCTCTCAGATGATTAGTGACTTCGAGCATGTTTTCATATGTCTCTTGGCCTTCTGTATGTCTTCTTTCAAAAGATGTCTATTTAGGTCCTTTGCCTATACAAAATTCTTTCTCTTCCCCTCAGTCCTACACCTGCTGTGTTCTTTTCTGTGCAGATTCCTGACATTCACCCTGGTCTGGGTATACACTGTAGGAATGCAAAGATGAGTCTGTTTCTGCTCTTGCCCTCATCGTTCTTAGTCTTCTGGGTAAAGGAGACAGTGGTAAGGTAAGGTAGGCAGGTAAGATGATGGATGAGGAGGCCCCATTTCTATCTTTGTGTGCTTTGTCATTTTCTTGTAGGATCTAAGTGGGGGAAAAAAGGGAGGGAAAGGGCTAGGGGCTTGCCTGGCCGATATGGCTCAGTGGTTGAGTGTTGACTTATGAGCCAGAAGATGGGTCTGGGTACACACTGTAGGAATGCAAAGATGAATCTGTTTCTGCTCTTGCCCTCATTGTTCTTAGTCTTCTGGGGAAAGGAGACAGTGGTAAGGTAAGGTAGGCAGGTAAGATGATGGATGAGGAGGCCCCATTTCTATCTTTGTGCGCCTTGTCATTTCCTTGTAGGATCTAAGTGGGGGAAAAAGGGGGGGAAAGGGCTAGGGGCTTGCCTGGCCGATGTGGCTCAGTGGTTGAGTGTTGACTTATGAGCCAGAAGATCATGGTTCGATTCCTAGTCAGGGTACTTGCCCAGGTTGTGGGCTCGATCCCCAGTAGGAGGCAGTCGATCAATGATTGTCATCATTGATGTTTCTCTCCCTCTCTCCCTCCCCCTTCCTCTCTCTGAAATAAAAAATATATATTTTAAAAAAACAACAACCAACCAACCAATCTGGGCTTAAACCCCTGGGCTGTTTACTAGAAATGGGCTTCATTGGGAAAGCTTTGTGCGTAGTGGGATTGCCCTGGGGACAAAGGTAGGCCAGGCTTTGCGGCTGAGCAGGAGAGTTTAGGGAAACCCTGGTGGGTAGCAGTGGTGAAGGGGGCAGCAGGCAGACATCGGGGACTGGAGAAACAGCAGTGAGGAAACCCTAGGAGTTACACCAGCCACCATCCCGTCTCCCTTTCCCTTCATCCTCGGAGTCCCATCCCTGGGTCTCATCCCACCAGGTCCCAGCCCCAGCAGCACCTCACCCACTTTCTCACCCTAAGCAATCCCAACTTTTCCCACCCAGTCCTTGCAGCTGCTCTAAGTGGGGACCCCAACCAGCACCGTGGGCATCACCCAGAGCTGTTAGAATCATCAAATCTCTGCCCCTCTCCCCGCAGCTGAATCTGCTTCAGCATTTGAGAAGCCTGTTTGCAGAGTTTGGGCTTTAAACCAGTGGGCAGCCTGGGACCCTGACCACCTGAGTTAACACTGTTTCTATGGGACATGTGTCCCCAGTTTCAAATAGCAGAAGTATCTTTCTTCCATTCTCAATAGTCTCTTAATTGCAGAACACAATTTCTTAGAATTTAAATTGAGTTCAACTGCTAAATATTAATGTGGAAAACACACCTCGAAAAAAACACATTCTATGAAAGTGGTGACTTTTCAACTGGTGTGTCGCAAGAATGTTAAAACACACAACGCCTGACTATCTAGTCAGGGGCACTGACCTCCTTTCCCTTCGATTGACAAATGAAAAATGACAACAGCCAACACAATAGCTATCCGGTGTGAATGCATCAAAATTATACCTATTTTTTTTGTTAGATCGGCAAAGAATAGAATATATTTTTTGGCGTGCCACGGAATTTTAGTAATTGGTGTATGTGTATCAGGAGAAAAAAAGGTTGAAAGTCGCCATATTAAAGTATTGCCGGGTGGCTTGCTTTCTGTGCACAGAAACGGGAGGAAAAGCTAAAAGGACGTGGCCGGACTTGTCAAAGCTGCGGGGAGGCAGGAATGAGGACAGCCGGGTAGTTCTGTTCCGAGCGGGCCCTCTAGAGAAGGAAATGAAAAACTCCACAGCATCCAGAGCAGCGCTCATAGCTGACAGCCAGTTGGACCCAGGGCGCGTCACCGACATCGTCTCTAACTTTTACAGACATTGCAAACTGGCATGATTCTGCTAGTTTTACAGAGGACAGAGATGTAGAGCAATTAAGCAACTCACTAAAAGACCCATGCAATCCATTCAAATCAAGTTCTTCCAACCTGCTCTTCTTAGATAAGCATTTGTAAGCAGGTAAAGGGCTAGCCAACTAGTGCTACGGCTCACATGTAAACTAGGTCAGAATCTGTTTTTCAATAAGAGACTCAGACAAGGATTCTTTTAACATGTGTTCCTTAAATTGGTTTTCGGCATGACACCAACTAGGTACCCGGGGGGCTACTGTAAGCGGGCAGTGTGGGGGTGGGGTGGAGGGGGCGGCTAATTGGGCAGTGTACTCGGACTGGTGCCCGTGTTAAGTCTGTAAAGAGGGTTCCTGGCTGCAGAAGGCACCTTTGGAGGCTGCAGAGTTAGACACGTCCTAGGACCAGGAGGAAGGGCAGGAACCTGACGTTGGATTCAGGTCCAGGTGACTGTGAGAGATGCTGCAGCCAAAGCAATGGTATCACAGCTGGAGAAAGCGGCTCAGGAAGGAGGCGGTGGGGACGGGACCACCCAGAGGCCCAGAGGCGGGCTCTGTGGAGCAGAGATGGGCTTGGTGGATGAAATGCCCCTTAGCACGTGAATTTATTGTGTTGGATCCCATGTTCACCAACTAACCTGCCATCCTGTTATCCCAATTCCGAGAAGGATGGATTCTGGTCAACCACCAGGAACTTCTTATGGGTTTGGTTCTCATGAGTCAGTCTCTGGTTGCAAAGATGAAATTGAACTTCTGTCCTGTACATCTTAGGGACCAGACTGTGGTAGAGGGACCCTTTCAGGGGGCTCCACCCTCCAAATCCCCTTTAATTATTTTACAATTTTCTGTTGTTGCAATTATGGTTCTGACTGTGCACTAACTAACTTACAAATAAACCCCTGGACCACCGACGTTCAGCCTTCCCCTCCTGGCCACCTTGGATACAAGAGAGAGGGAGGACCTGCGGCTGATACCCTCACCTTTCCGAGGGGATGCAGACACGAGTACACTGAACAACATGAGGGGGTAGGGGTACTGGCCCTGCACAGCTGACCTCATACATAACTTTTGACTCCCCCAAAACTGAACTGCTAATAGCCTATTGTTGGCTGAAAACTTTACTGATAATAGTCAATTAACACATATATGTTACTAAAGGCCAAGTGCACAAAATTCATGCATGGGTAGGGTCCCTAGGCCTGGCTGGTGATCAGGGCCAATCTGTGGGGTGACCACCAGGGTGATCAGGGGTGGAAGGGGTGGGGGTCTGACACCTGGCTTGGCTGGCCTGGGGGCAGCTACTGCATTGAGTGTCTGCCCCCTGGTGGTCAGTGCATGTCATTGTGACTGGTCGTTCCGCCATTTGGTCAATTTGCATAATAGGTTTTTATTATATAGGATACATATTACATATTACATGCGTATTCTTATAGTAAAGAAAGCTAGAGAAGTGAAAGTGTTATTAAGAAAGTCATAAGGAAGGGTAAATACATTTACATTCAATAAGTACATTTATTGAAAAAAATCTTCAT